TATGCAAGCAGGGTACTGTGCTGTGCTCCTCTATTCACTAGTTGACAGCACTTATACACTCACCACCTGTCTCCTTTCCTGTTGTCAGCCTCTCGTACGTCCCTGCCGACCTTTGCAAACAGAGCCTATTCTTAGGTCCCTGAAATCCGAATGCTATCCAAGAATGCTGTCACTTTAAAATCCAAAATGGTGGCCACTTGTAAAGATTCAAAATGCCTGCGCCCTCAGTCACTTTAAATATCCAAAATGGCCACCGCTTGTAAACATTCAAAATGGTTGCCCCCTCAAGTCACTTTAAATATCCAAAATTGCTCCTGTGTGTAAACGATCAAAATGGCTGTGCCCTCCAGACGGTGGAAAGTCCACAGCTCAGGTTGTCTGTGTCCTTGCTATTTCCCTTCCTACATAGGCCACCAGCGCAGTCGTCCCTGCAGCCCTTGGTGACCAGGGCTGATCTTTAGGTCAATTCTCAGGTCCCAGCACCACTTGGAACTATTCAGGCTGTTGGTCCCGTCAGAGTAGCTGACGGTCCACAGCTCCGACCGTCTCTGTACTCACTGTTTTCGTTCAGGTTTTTCCACTAGTTGGTGCCTAATCCACTTCTGTATAGTTCCTTTCAAAGCTCAGGGCTCCAGGAGTATCTTCTGTATCTCTGTCAATTGGTTTTTCTTTTCTTTGTTGAAGACAGTCTGTGTCGCTTGTCTGCCTATTCCTCCATCTTCCAAATGTTATTTTTCTAACTAAAAGTTAGAAAGGGCAATTCTAAGAGGTCACAGTGTGGTTGCTGTGGAGGCTAATTGGAGGGGGTGAGACAGAAGATGTTATCAGAAATGCATCTGGAAACAAGCTGCAATCAATCAACTCCTGTATCCACAGGTGACTATTCATTAACGCTGGAGTAAGTCACAAGGTCCCTGGGTGCCTAAAGCGGTTGGCACTTGCCTACTAACCAAAAGGTTCAATTCCACCCAGTGGTCCAGCAGCACCTCTACTCCTCTGTTGCGTTTGTAACGATGCAAAGGCTAAGAAGCCTTTTTACATGAATTAGGTGAGGAAGGGGTTCTCCTTAGGGCAGCGGCGCTCTGCTCCTGAGCTCCTTCCAATCTGCCAAAACCTCCACAAGCCAACGCGCTCTGGAGGCCAGAATCGACAAACTCCACCTTCGCGAGAGGAGGGAGGGGCCCGGCTGGCCCGGCATAGGACAGCCTACCCTCTGGGAGTCCTGGGAGTCCCCCCAGGGATGTGGTCCCCAGTCTGAGGGCCACCCCTCCAGAGCTGGGCTTCTCATCTCCCGCTGCTGCTCGGAATGTTTTGGGTGCCTTTAAAATGCGCCTTTGGAGCCCCACCCCACCCTTGGTGATTCCGGCTGCAGCGTTCCCATTGCACCGACGGGGACACCGAGACTCGGAGGGTGGACTTGCAGGGGGCTCCCCGGGCCGGCCTGACCCCTGTCTTCCCCCGCAGTGTACCACTGGGTGGAGATGCGGACCAAGATGCGTATCATGGGCTTCCGAGGCGCAGCCATCAAGCCTCTGAACGAAGACGCGGCCGCCGAGCTGGGCGCCGAGCTGCTGGGGGAGGCCACCATCTTCATTGTGGGTGTTGGCTGCCTGATGCTCGAGTTCTGGCGCCAGCAGCGCCAGCAGCGCCGCCAGCAGCTGGAGCAGAGCGCCGCCTGGGCTATGCTGCAGGACGAGGTGGACCACCTGTCGCTCATGCTCGAGGCGCTGCAGGCGCAGGTGCAGGCAGCGCCGTCACAGAGCGCCCTGGAGGAGCTCAGGGCGCAGCTGCAGGACGTGCGCACGCAGCTGCGCGCCCGGGACGCCCCGCCCGCAGCCCTGGCACCGCCCCCTCCCCAGACCACGCCCCCGACACAGCCCGCACCGGAAGGTGAACCTAAGAAATAGGCAGCCTCGAGGCTCTAGTTCTTGACCTTGCTGGGACTAACCCAGAGGAACCTGGAGGCAAAGCAGATCCTGAGCTGGGGTCGATCCAACACGCATTTGGTAACCTCCTTAGTTAATAGTGGGACCTCCCTCCCTCCTGCTGGAACACCGCCCTCTTCCCAGCCCTCTGGTTCAGCACATTGCAATTGAAAGGCAGCAACTTCCCACAAATTCGGGGCCAGCAGGGCATCCTTCTCACTCTTTTGGCAAAATGACATTGCATCCTACACATGGACTTAACCATTCTGTCACACACACACCCTTTTATCTGAGAGGTGGTCCCTTCCCCAGGAAGGTCATTACACAAGAACACCCCCTTTGTCGTCCTCGTTGATAGACTGTTGTGACAAAGAAAATGAAGACCTTCCGTAACCATCTACCTCGTCCTTCTGTCTACCTCACTTGTTAGGGGGAAAAAACAATTCATAAACAAGGACCTTGGACTGCCTTAACTCCAATGAGTACCTGTGTGTTCCTGTAACGCACCTTCAACTGGGAGCCATGCCCTCTATTGTTCTAACAGGGCCCCTCTGCCTCCACTTTGTAGTCTGTGCCACAACCCACTGGAACAGTGGGGTCTTCCCGCTCAATGCCATCCAATCCCCAAACCGCGGCCTGTTCCAGCAGGACATGGCTCCACAGGGTGGAAAAATCAATCCCGACTTGGGCTAATCCGTCCTGTCTTTCCATCCCATCTCCCTATTTACCTGTCTCCAAAGTCCCTCCAGTATTCTCTCATGGGGACCTCGCTGCCCCCTGATCCACATGAATCAGATGGTCACACACACCCATCTTCTATTCAAATCAATATCCCAGAGCACTCAGGGATCCACTTCCTTCCAGACTTGGGACTGGTCCCACAGTCCCCCCTCTAATAGCTCCCCCACATCCCCTCACTTCCCCACCCACCCAAATGGAATATTCCACCAGCCAATGTTACTCACCCAACCACCTGCAAACTACCAAGCCCTTTCCTAGTGGGGAAACTGAAGCCCAAGACCACACAACTGACGAACTGCCCAGCTCCTTCCTCCAAGACGGCGGAGTGACTGGAGCAGGGAGAGAAGGGGTCAGAAAGACCCAGACTATGGCTCTGGTGGCACAGTGCCTAAAGCATTTGGCTGCTAACCAGAAGGCTGGCGGTTCAAACCCACCAGGCACTTGGTGGAAAGAAGACTGGGCAATCTACTTCTTGTTGTTATGTGCCGTCGAGTCAGCCCTGACTCATAGCGACCCCTCCTTGGGTTTCCGAGGCAGTATCACTACAGAAGTAGGAGTGCCCCACCTTCCTTCCGAGGAGTGGCTGGTGGGTTTGAACCACCAGCCTTCTGGTTAGCAGGCAAGCATCTTAGCCACTATGCTACCAGAGCTCCTTGGCAATCTACTTAGTGCCTTGGAAACCCAAAGTGGGTCACTATGAGTTGAAATCAACTGAATGGCAATTTTTTTTTTTTTTCTGGGTGAAGAGAAAGATGAAGAGACAGCAGGTGACAGGAGCGAGGGTGAGGTTCTCAGCAGAAAGAACCAGGTCTTCCCATAACGGGGTACCAAGGGAGGGGCACCCCCATCCTCATCAAAGAACCCTTCAAACCACACCAGAGATCTTCGCATTTACAAAAACCGGCAGATTTATTCTGCAGGGGCCCGTTGTCAAGAGGCTGTAGGTAAAGGAGGGAGAGGAGAGCTTTACTCCCCATATTCTTTCTCCCTCATCTTATTTTCCCAGAGGGGGGTAAGATGGCCTGGCCCCCCAAACCTACCCAAATTAAAAAAACAAAAAAAACTGAGGTTCCAAAAAGTTACAGCATCTTAATTCCTCATAGAAAAGGGGAAGGAGCCATAGGGAAGGTGGGGGTCCTTGGGCTGGGGTGAGGAACCCCCAACCTGATGGAATACCCCCCCTTAAATAGCTATCCCAAATGGGACAAGCCTGGGGCCATAGCATTTAAAAACTCCCCACACCCCATTTTATCAAAACCAAAGAGAAAAAAAATTTCCCTCCCCATCCCTCCAAACCCAAATATATATATATATTTATTTTCTTAAAAAAAAAACAAAAATTCGAAGGCATTAAGCGATAAAGTGAATCTAGAACCAGGGAATGTGTAATTCCCTCCTTCCTCCCCCGACTGTGGGGCTAATTGGTACATCCCCAGTAGAGGAACCAGCCCAGAGGGGATGGCAGAGAGAAGGACCAAAGGGAGCAAGGGGCGGGGGCCTCCCCAGCCAATCAGCAGCCAGTATGGGTGTGGGCATGGTGCCAGGGAAATCACACCCCCTTGGAATTTTCCAAGAAGGATGGGGAGTGGGGAAGACGCATTCCTGTGTAGTCTTCAGCCAATTCCGAGTCAAGTCGAGGCAGGGAAAAGCTGGGTGATGGGCGGGGTGTGCGGAAAGGAGAAGCAGGATTCTTTGAGTTCCCGAGGTCAGGGGGAACCCCGCTTCCTCAGCTCCTGGACAAAGGCTGGAAGCAAACAAAGGTCAGAGGTC